CCCCGACAATTTATTTTACAGTCAGCTACATTTGAATAACACAGCTTCAAGTTAATAAATTATCAATTACTGCAGACAATGACTTGAGACAGTGGTGCTTATATGCTGTTATTCTATTTGACTGCAGGATGGACGTTTGACATTTTATCCTGGAAATCAGACTGTGGATTTGCCTTTCATAAATTTTATGAAAAGACATGGCTCTGTCTTTCTCAATGCCTATACCAACTCTCCAATTTGTTGTCCTTCTCGTGCAGGTAGGATCAGGAGAAACAACAGATAAATGCAAATGATTAATATTAATACTTGCCTATGCCAATTTAAATATACAGTAATTTCTAAGCCTTGAGATTAAGGAAGCTTTTCTGTCTTCTCAGTCAGACCAATTAATCTTTTTTTGGTAGTACCTCAAATTTATACAGTGTTTTGATGCTTGATCCATTTTTTTTCTGTTTCTTGTGTAGTTTACATTTATTCCTAAGGCCATTAAATACATGATATATCCTTTAGCATCTTTGTTACATACTTAAGTATTCTTTACTTGCTGCAATCAGTGTCTCATATGCAACTTCCCATATGCAGAATTTAGAAGTTGGAAAGTCAGAAGAAAGCTATATTCTAAAATCAAATGTTACATCTCAAAGTGTTTCTAGCCTTCTCAGTTGTTGCAGAGATACTTCAGAAATCATGTAAATTAAATGTCATCTACAGCACTGTTACAGCTGCAAATTGGAAGAAGCATCCTGTCCTGACTGCAGCAGGCACAGGCTGCCAAGTTTACTGTTGTATTCCATTTCTTAAGAACCTAGCTATTCCTTCTGTTTCTCAAGGTCAAGCTGTATCTGAGTTAAGATTACATAAGCATGTTCTCAATCCTGTTTTCTTATTTTTGACTGCTGATTGCTGAGAACAATATTCTTCTGTTAATTTATTTTTTAAGAAATGTTGTGAAGATAGCAGCTAGTGCTCACAGTGAGTAAGAGGCTGCATCATGAATCTAATAGATCATCAGCTTTGTTTGGCACTTCAAATTGTCCTTCAGCATTATCAGGGACATTGGTTGGTCATCTCAACTGCAGTTCTGAACCAGAGGGCATCTTTTGTTCAACCAGTAGCTTGGAGACTGCAAAGAACTGAGGATGCATCTGCAGTCAGGGACTGTACTGGGAGGAAAGGGTGTGATCTGAGGTACTGCTGTGGGCAGTGGGTGGGGAGAGTGAGGGTATTGCTTTGATATGGTGTTATTGGGCTTTAGTATTAGTGAATTTTCCATTGCTTAGAAGAACTTCATTTTGCTTTAGGGTTGACTTTTGGCCCTAAGTTGGCATGGGGAAGAGCAAATGATTCTTGACAAGCCACAAAAAAAACAGGACAACTAGCTAATAAAAACTTTTCTTATAGTTCCTTTCCAATCTTACCTTGGTCTCATTTCTTTTTGTCCCCTTTTTGGCTCTGTTTCAGTATCTGGCTTTGTTTCTACAGCTGATAGTGAAGTAGATTACACGAAGGGCATAAAACTGAAGGCATGTAGTGTTTATAAATATACTCTAATTCTCTTCACAAATGTACCTAATGTTAACACTAAGATCTAATTGAAATGAGGGGAGATAATGTTTTGGAGTACACACTCGTGTTTCATCAGGTTCTGCACTACTGTGACATTTTTTTTCTACAATACATAAGAATATATAATGATGTACAAAAAAGCTTGATTTAGTGAATTCATAGTACATTGCAAGAAGGGACCTTGCTCTATCATTCTGGGGATTATTTTACTAGATGTTCATATTGATGAGGAAAATAAGATTGAGAAGAGTAACATTTTATACTCCCACTCAACTGGGTCACAGCTGGACATTTTTTTAACCACTGAAATAATAATATCCATTCTCAAGTATGCTCAACTTAGTTTTAGCTAGGAAATATCCTTACTTTTCACAAACCATGTCTCATTTTATTTTCCAGCAATGTGGAGTGGTCTTTTCACACACTTAACTGAATCATGGAATAACTTCAAAGGTCTAGATCCTGATTATGTAACATGGATGGATCTCATGCAGAAGCATGGCTACTACACACAGAAGTATGGGAAACTGGATTATACTTCTGGACATCATTCAGTGAGGTAATCAGATGGATGTTCCTTCTGTAACATAGACAGTTGTGAGTAATATGGCAAGCCTCTCTGACTGAGTACAATTTGTTGGTAAAGGAGTTATGATTCCTCTTCATTCTCATTGAAAGTACTGGAAAGCAGAATTTATCTCTGAAGTTTTAAAATAATTACCTGTTAAGCCCTTGCACTTTCATTTTATGTTCAGGGACTGAATTTTGCATTGCTCCCTTTTTCACTCCTCTACCAGGTTTTCTGAAGGTTCTTATTTCTGGCTTATCTTTTTCTCCTTTTATGCCTGAGGATCAGTCTTGCATGTGTAAAAAATCTTCTGTGATGTTCCAGAGAATTGGTCCAAGGGATTGGGGTTGATGCTTTTTGTTTGTTTGTTTGTTTGCTTTTTCTGTTTTTGTTTTTATCTTGTTCTTATTCTCATTCTGATTAGATACCAATCTGGCCTATATAATAGGTTTTTCTCTATATGTCAGCGTTAATGTTATTGTATGCAATTTGACACAACTCTTATCCCCACATCTGATTTTATTCTTTAACTCTTCATCAAATATGACTTCTCTAAGTAGTTTGATTAGGGCTTTCAGCTTGAAAGTGTGTGTGAAGCTAAACAAAGGCTTAATTAAAAAAATATAGTTACAGGTAATTCTAAGTAGTTGTTCTGGATGTCAAGGATGCAGTGGTAAAATTTCAGTGAGGATAAAAATGATTAGACGTTCTTTAAATATCAGCAATGAAATAATGAAAGTGCAAGATTGTATCATTCATGTTTTCCTTTGGAATTTCAGTGGTGATATTAAAATTTCCCTGAACACAGTTAAGATGGGTAGAGATATTAAGTTGAATGTTTCCTTATAATCCTGTTTTTGGCAGTTGTTGTCATTCTTGAAAAGAAGCCAGAACATCTGTAGCTCAGATTTCTCAGTGTTTTATGGAGGAAAGAAAAAAAATATGTTCCACAAGTGTTGTGTTTTCCTCCCCTCCCCCACCTTCTTTTTTTCTCTCTACATTTTTCTCTTATTTTCCTCTTATTCCATTTTCATGATGGCATTTCTCATTTATATCAAAAGCAAAAGTACAAGATAAATTGCTTTTAGAGATTTTTGCTATAAGTGATAATGTTCCTAAAGCAGAATGTGGCTTTTGAAGGTGCCTATTCCAGCTAGGTCACTTCTCACAGAACTTTTTTAAATAAGAAAAGTCCAAGGCCATGCATACCAGATGAATTGTATGAATCGATGACAATCAGGGTCAGCAAGATAGAGAGGGTATTTCTAATTTTTTTTTCCTGTTGAAATGGGAAGAACCATTCTGAAATTAATTTTTAATAAAAAAGAAAAAAGATTGAGGAGGAGAAGAGAGTGACTAAAGTTGTGAATATAAAGTAGGTATAAAATAGCTATAATGAAAAACAGTTTTCCTTTATCTCGAAATTAAAAGGAGATGGCAGCAACAAATGTAGAAGAAGTTAAGGAGAAACTTTTCATGTGGAGGAAAGTGAGAAAAACACTTTCCTCTGAGTGCATATATCTTGTGTCTGTATTCTCAGTAACCGTGTGGAAGCCTGGACTAGAGATGTTGAATTCCTGCTCCGGCAAGAAGGAAGACCCAAGGTAAATCTTACTGGTGACAGGAGGCATGTGAGAGTGATGGAAACTGATTGGCAGGTTACTGACAAAGCAGTGACTTGGATAAAGAAAGAAGCTGTTAACCTCACCCAACCGTTTGCTCTTTACTTGGGGCTAAATTTGCCACATCCGTATCCATCACCTTACGCAGGAGAAAATTTTGGATCCTCTACATTTTTAACGTCTCCATATTGGCTTGAAAAGGTATGTGCAGGTGAAAGTTAAATCTAAATTTGTGCGTAACTTGATTGTGAAATGTGTTTTATTCCTTGTAATTTTTCAGGTCAGATCCAGTTCTGATATTTCAGTACACAGTAAGTAGTACTTGCATAACATGTTGGACTTTTGATGAAGTAAAATAATTTTGTTTTCCTGTAATGAAAAGGTTTGTTATCACTGAATCAGTAAATTTGGACTTCAATAGCTAGAAACACATTTAAATTATATAGCTGGTCTGTCAGTAATATTGTGAGAGATTTTTCTGAAAAAGAAGTCTCTATTCTGTTAACTGTCCATGTGTGCAGAACTAGCGGAATATACAAATCTAGCATTGTATGTAACGTATCAGCTTTTGCTTTTAGCTTCAGTGCTTCTTTATAACTAAATGGCTCAATATCTGTAGAAATAAATAAAATGGCGAATTTTTGTAGCGAATATTTATAGCTCTTTTATAACTAGTTGACTCAATACCTGTGAAAATATGGAGGAAGTAGCAGCACTATTTAACAGATAAGCTACTGATGTCTCAAAGACTACAGACTGAGAACAGACAAATTATGCTAAAAAGTTTTAAATTAACCCTTTCTTTTTTCCTTTAAATTGTTTAATTTAGTTTGTAATGTTGCTTTCCCCTTTATTTTTAGGTAAAATATGAAGCTATTAAAATTCCCACATGGTCTTCACTTTCAGAGATGCATCCAGTAGACTATTATTCATCATACACCAAAAATTGTACAGGAGAGTTTACAAAGCAAGAAGTGAGAAGCATTAGAGCATTTTATTATGCTATGTGTGCAGAAACAGATGCTATGCTTGGTAGGTAAAGCTTTCTAACGTAGTGGCTTTTCTTGTTCTGATTTATTTGTAATTTATTTAAAAAAAAATGCTGATAGAGCCAGTCTTTTGGAATAATAAAATAAAACCATACAATTCAGATCTAGGTATAAATTTCATAGATATTGCTTAATCAATCTATTCAGTAAATAACTGGATAGATTTTAAGGGTACTGCCAGGTGAATTCATTCTGAAAAGTGCTAACAAGGCCCATGAATGAAACAGTAGAAGCTGCACAGGTACAGCAAAGCTTTGTTGGATGCATGTGCAAGAGCAAATAAATATTCTTTTGTGAAGTGATGACTGAAAAAATAGAAATACAGAAATAAACAGCTTTGAGATTGTAAGTGCTTTGCCTAGAGATTAATTTTAAGTTTCTGAATTCAATGACAACTACTAATAATGAATTAAGCAATAAAGTTACCTTTGAAACCTTCCTTAGTATCATTGAAAATGAAGAAGATGAAAGCATGAATTAAGCAGGCAGAGTTCTTCCTACTTTATGGTAAGATCAACATGAACAACAATTACAATGCAACATCATCATAATTTAGGGCATTTTATTTCTTAATTTGAATAGCGACAATGAAAGAACAAGAATTTTCTTGCCCTCTAATGTGAAATTTATGAAAAAGCAAGCAAATCTTCTCTTTTTTTTTTTTTTTTGTAATTTTACAATGATTAAGTAACTTAAAAGACATGGAATTACTGTTTCAATTTAATGAAAGGAAGGAGATTAACAGGAACTTAAGGCAACAAAGGTGTTGCCCAGCTCAGTAAGTAACTGAGCTGTACTGTAACTTTGTAATTTAAGTTTTTAACTAGTCTGTTTAAACAAGAATCACCTTAATATTTGAATGTTAATGATGTGCAGATGCTTTGCTTAATTACTGATTTCATTGGTCTTGTCCATGTCTCCCTTGCACAGATGTCTGTGCAAGAGGTTCTTGTGGGGATATGGGCACACGTATTGGAGAGACACATACTGATAAGGTGCTGTGAGCAGTCCTTCATCCTAAATGTCACGTCAGGGCTTCTGCTGCCCTATTTTAGTTCTGCAAAGCCAAATATTAGTTGTAATAGCAAAAATGCATCTCATCCTATAGTGCATCTTTGCTCTTTGATATTGTTGTTGTTCTGTGCTCTCCAGGTTGCACTGAGAGCCAGAATCCTGCAACTTGCATACTGCTGTGTATTGTTCTGGGCTGGTTGCTTTGCATTCTGCCTCCTGTGGCAGAGATAGGATTTCCCAAGTGTTTGAATAAGATTATTTGGAATTTGCACACCACTTGTAGGTTAGGAAGTTCAAAGAGTATTTGACCTATCTTTTTGAAGCCTTTTTCTTGTTGCAGGTGAAGTTATTTCAGCTCTGAAAGATACTGATCTTCTTGAAAAAACGGTCATTATGTTCACTTCAGATCATGGGGAACTTGCTATGGAACACCGTCAGTTCTATAAAATGAGCATGTATGAAGGAAGTTCCCATGTTCCTCTTCTAGTTATGGGCCCAGGCATAAAACAACAGCAGCAAGTACCAGATGTGGTCTCTCTGGTGGATATATATCCTACTATGCTTGGTGAGTTAAGTCATTTAAAATGATTCTTTTTTTTAAGTAACTAATTATTGCTATGTATTTGCATTATAGTCAGAATGATGTCTCCACTTAGTGAATCAATGTAGTAACAGAACAGGAGGTGATGAATCATGGAGGGAGCATATGCATGGACTTAATGTAAAATGCAAGAAGAGTGTATAAAAATTAAATAAAGGAATTGATGATTTTCCTTTTGCTGTTACTGGTTCTCACAAACATGATTTAATCAGGGATTATCTGTTTAAAAAATGTTAGGAGATACAAAGTAATCAGACACAGTTTAGATATAAATAATCCTTCCTAGCCTTCATACTGAACAGTTAGTTTACTATAGAAATTAGAATGTAAATGCATTCAGAAAGGGGATTATACCCAAAAGAATAGCAGTTTCATTATGTTGTCAAAGGAGTTCCCTTTACAAAGTGTCAAGTAGGAGAAAGTTAGCATAGACGTTTGTACAGAAAATGCACAATTAAGGGCAAGTATGGTAAGGTATGATAATGCATATCCACGCTTATCTTCCTGAGTATGGAAATATTCTTTATGGGGCAGATAAACTGTTGAAAAGGATTCTCTTTAAGTTACTTTTAGGAGTGAATTTTTGAACTGTTACCTGTTTTATCACGGGTATCAGATAAGATGTGATTCTTTTTGGAACTGAATGTTAGTTGCCGTTTCAGGATTATATAGGATGTTTTAGGTCACTAATTGGATATTTTTTTTTTTTCCCAAAGCATTCAGCTGAGCTCTTTATTTAAAAAGCATCAGATGCAGGCTGCAATTGCCTGAGAGAATGTGGAGCAAAAGATATCATTACACTTTGTAGAGCAAACGAAGGCAATGACAGAGCCTTTATTTGAGAAACAGTTGCTATAGGAAAAGATATTCGAGAGGAATTAACTCACCCCTCCCGGTAGCAGTTTGGAGAAAAGGACGAGCTGAGAAATGTGACCTCCCCCGTTCGTACCGTCGCGCTGCAGCAGAGAAAGGCGGGGGGGAAAGGGGACCCGCGCAGACTCACATGGCACGGGAAGTATCGCGGAGACAGAAGGGGTGGCTTTAAACTCCTCCCCTGCCCGCTCCAGGCACTCCCGTACTCACTTAGCTCATCCATTGGTTCAGGCTGTGAGCTTGGAATTCCACTACATACTTATTATACTTATTATACTGTACTTCTAGCAGTAAAAGCCAGAGAAAATCCTTTTCTACATTATCTTACGTAGACTTTTTATAAACAGAACAAAATATATTTATCTGCTTATCTCTTCTCAAAACTTTGGAAGCAGTTATCTAGGTGAAAATAGCGTATAACCTGAGTAGTTTTCTTTTTTCTCTACCAAATTCTGGAACTGAATCTGTATAAAGAAGTCTATGCCAGATACCCTCAGACAGAAGTTGCAGTGCCACTCTTGAAGAATTCACTTCTTTTTTTGTGCTTTTTCCACAAATAATGTAATTAGCCAGGTGGTTTATCATCCTTTTTTTTCCTGCTCTTTGTCTGTTATTTTCCTGTAGTTTCCTGTGTTTATTAGTTCTTTCCTTCTGTTCTGGCAGTTTCTTCTTCCTGTAATATGAATGTCAAAAAATCTGGATAAATCAAGATGAACATCAAAGTATGAAGTATCATCTCTACCTTCTCTTTCTCTTCAAGCTGCATACTGCTGCAGACTAGTGAGAAATCAGATTTCAAGTCTTTTTCTTCGTAATTTTCATCCCTATGTTTTGCATTGTCTCGAGGTGGTAGTCACCCAGAAGATTTACTTGGAAATGAGGTGCGCCCTATATTATGTGTGGTACATAGGGTTCATTCCATCAAATTCTGTGTGATTCAGGTAATTAACCCAGAAGTGCATCAACTCCTGTCTTTTCTTACAGGATGTAGCCTAAGCTTTCCACCAAACAGCACTGACTTTATTGGTTTAAGTAGAAGTACTTTTGGATGTCCTGTTAAGCTGGAGGTACTGAAAATGCCAGCTGGAACATTTCTTGCACTTGGAAAATGCAGAACAGCTCTTTCTGCTGCTTGGTCAGACACAGCCAGTTTTATTCTCCTGGAATAACTAGAAATTACTGACAGGTGTCTGTGCTGTAGGAACAAAAGATAAGAAAGAAAATAGGTGGTGGTGAAAGAAAATCTCACTTGTGGGCAGTGCATATTGCTGAGTATCACTGTAAGAATATTAGACACAACTCAGCATGGAATGGGATCCTCTGTGAAATGAAATATATTTTGAATTTTGAATGCTGTGTTCAGTAGGGTAATTAAAAATAACATTATGGCCATACTCCTTTTTTAGGAAATTCTTAGGTAACATGGGTGAGATTCTCAGCTGTACTTTCCAGAATGTCTCTAAGAGATGTTTATGACTTCTTAACACTGTCTACATCTTTGGAAGTTAGAGATACTTCTGATGTAATTTTATACCAAGGGGCCTATCCAAGCTAGAGGATCTTCCAGTAGGCTATAGAGCATCTGTAGTAGGCTATAAAGCCATCTTGTGTATTTTCAATATGTGCACTGTATCAAAACTACCTCTGATACCATCCTTATCTCCAGCCCTATCAAGTGCCCCTGTTCCTGAGTTTCCCCACCAGTTACATATATGTGATAACTATAATGACCACCTTTTGCACAGTATTTTTCTAGTCATAGATGAAGAATGCTGGTTAGGAGCTATGCACCAGTAAGTGTTAGACCAGGCAGACTGAGGGGTATGGATCTTGTAGTGTTCATTCATGCTACGTCAGTCTGAGGTGGTCAGAAAATGTGGGAAGGGCTTAAAAAATAAAAAAGCAGAACCTGTCACTGAAGGCTATAGATAACAGTTTTAACAAATGTTTTTCATATTGACCTAGATGGTGAGCAAATGAAGTCAGAAAGTTTCTTAAAGATATGTTGTTATTTGCATTTGTTGGGGTTTCTGTGTTCTAGCAATATCTAGTTTATTGCAGTGTATTTTCAGAGACATGTAGCATTATATACGTCTTGTTCATTGTGGTACCTTAAGTGGAACTTTGAATGTGTGTATCTTTGCTTAGATCTAGCAAGAATTCCTGTCCTGCAGAACCTCAGTGGATATTCTCTTTTACCCCTGCTGCTTGAAAAGGCGGAGGATGAAGTGCCACTCAGAGAAGCTCGGCCCTCGTGGGTACTGAGTGAGTTCCATGGCTGCAATGTGAATGCTTCCACATACATGCTTCGAATTGATCAATGGAAGTATATCACGTACTTGGATGGCGTTTCAGTGCCTCCACAACTGTTTGGTATGTTATAATTCTTGTGTCCTAACTGATCAGTTAATTTATTTAAATGCAAGTTGACCTTAACTGCCTTTATTGTTTGTTCCAGACCTTTCTGCTGATCCAGATGAGCTGACAAATGTTGCCATAAAATTCCCAGAAACTGTACAATCCTTGGACAAAATACTTCGCTCAGTAGTGAACTATCCAAGGGTTTCTTCATCTGTTCAGAACTATAACAAAAGGCAGTTTATCAACTGGAAACAAAGTTTGGGCCAGAATTACTCAAACGTTATTGCCAACCTTAGATGGCATCAAGACTGGTTAAAGGAACCAAAAAAATATGAGAATGCAATTGATAGGTGGCTCAATAGCCAAAGGGAACAAATGAACTAAATATATTAATAAAACAAAAATGTCACAGATATAATATGACTGAGGGGATGGAAACATTCTGCATTTGTAATTTTCCGTTGTATTTCAATTGTTAGACTTATTATCTTATGTAAGCTATTTTAAGCAAAGATTCCTGAAGAATTACTGCATTGTGCTAGTTTATATAACCAAGTGTAACAAATCTAGATTTTATATGATAAAATTCTGTAGCATGTACGAATAAATAGAAAGAATGTTATGTAAGTTTTAATTACATCTATGGTACATGTAGCTACTTGCCAAAATGCAGAGTATTAAGTGTTAGAACTTAACAGGAATTTGCATTTTTAATGACATGTTAAAGCAAGAATTATGTTTTATGGTGGGATACCTGTTACACTGGAGTATGCCAGAGCCAACTTTCCACCAAGGCAGACTGTCCATAACAAATACTTCCACTTTGGAGATGATGCAGGGGTTAGAATTTCATCAGAAAGATAGCATCTAGTGGTCTGAACATTAATGCACTTTATTCAATATTTCATCATTCCATTTTCATTCATTGAGTCTTCATACTTGAAGATAGGCCTTCTTTGGCTTTTGGATCTGGACTTATCATGCATCATTCTCCAAAATAATTGCATAATACTACTCAGGCGCTTGTAGTAGTATTATGAATCGCTCTGGTGACTCAAAGGCTATGCATTAAGTATGTGTGCAATAAAGAGAAAGTGGTCTTTGTTCACTGTTGGAAATTAGAGGGGGAAAAAAAACAACAACCCAACAATGACAGAAATAAATCTCTCAGACGAAACTTGTGATTGGAGCAGTTTTCTGAAAAGTAATAATGAGATTTTGCACAGCATTAAGTTGAAAACTGATTGAGTGGATCTCCATTGTGCAGTTAAATTCTAAGATTGGTAAATGTTCTAATATGCAAAGCTTGAACATAAAATATACACAGAGAAGATGCAGTTGAAGCTTGTGAAAGAAAAAAAACAGAACTACTATTTCTCATTTGCCCAGGAATGTGACTGAATAAATAAATGAATAAACACCAAAGCAGTTTTGGAAGAAGGTAAGATTTAACTGGTAAGTTGACTTTTCCTAAGTGAAAAATGCTTGTAGCAGCACGTACACTTGCTTATTTTTGGACACTGTTGGTGCTGTTACAGTAGAAATTCAGCATGACATTATAACTCATGCCTGAATGCTGCTCTGAATTTTAATGAAGTGCTCAGCAATAATGGTAAGCTGGAAAAATACAAACATGAAAAATACATGTGTCTTCCGATAGCTAAGCACCCTACCTGCACTTTGTAAACAACTTACCACGCTATAATTACCTGCATATATTCATGAATATATTACCTTTTTAATTGTTATTGTTCATAGAACATTAAGGATAATCTTACACTACTTACTGGTTTGGCATGCCATTGTCCTTTTTGCTAAGATGAGTTCAGGTCATGATGAAATCATTTCAACAAAAAATACAACAATGTAATATGAGTTGGCTGCATAAATAAAAGGGGGGAGAAGTCCATATGAAGGGAAAGTTTCAACAGGGAAAGTAATAAATTAATATCTTTACAGAATTCTGGGCAGGCCAGAACTCACTGTAGAGAATACAGCAAAATAAAATTTTGGTGAACTGGCTTTGTGTGTGTGTGAGTGGTTTTTTAAATGTTTAAATATATCACTGTGGAAAATTGTGTTCTGTCAATTCTGTGAACATGGTGCTGTGTTGGTTCTAGGTAGTGGGCTCTGGGTGTGACTGCTTGAGCAGGAGTTGGACCAGATGAACCAGAGGTGCTTCTGACCTCAGTCTGGAATTCTGTGACACACTACTACTTATTTTTGCACCTGCCTTCTTAAAATGCTTATAACTGAAAACATTAATTTATTTATTAAAAGCAAAACTTAATTTCCACAAGGTTTTTGCCAGAAAGAAGGAAAAACAAAACAAAACCCTTAAGACTTCATTGCCTCAATTTACCTTAAACAATTTACTTATGTTGGTAACTGAACTAAGTACAAACCTGAAATATTTAGCAACATTGTCATATTCAGCTAAGCCACCTTAGTTATACTAGTATATCTGCATTGTTAACACAAGTTGGCAACATAGCAGCTTGGCTCTTAGTCTAGGAAAAAAATCTTTGTCAATCCCTCCAAACACAAAGAGGATAAATACATGGCAGATAACAGAGATGATATGATTTATGTAATATCAGTAACAGATAATATAAATAATAACATACAGCATTAGTAATAAAAAGTAATGCAGGTATGAGAAATAACAAATTGAGATGAACTGGGGAATGAAAAGGAGAAAAGAAAGGCTGGAATACTGACATGGTCAAGCACATGTTTAGACAAAGTCAAGACAACAGAGCATTCCAAAATTTACCCAGTTGGCCTGATTACGTTCTTCGTAGTTACTGTCTTCAAGAACTTAATAATAACAAAACCAATCAGAATGAAAAGCCAGGACAAAATGGGTGATGTACAAATGTCCTGGACAATAAAAAAAGTGAATTAATTTTTCTAACTGCAGGTTCTTAGAGGTGAGAATCTACCTATGTCAGGATGTCTCACCTGATCAGCAAGGAAAAAAAAGTCAATGAATAAATCCAGGATTTGCACTGAAGTAGGAAACTACATTTTTTTATTTACTTAAAAAAAATAAATAAATAAAAGTATGGAAATAGAGTCTATATAAAATTACTGTAAGTTAGAATCACAGAATGTTTATGTTGGAAGGAAGCATAATGCCCACCCAGCCCCAAACCCGTGCTGTGGACTACCCCCCACCAGCTCAGGCTGGGCCCCATCCAACCTGGCCTTGAGTACCTCCAGGGCTTCTTTGGGCAGCTTTTGGTTTAAAAGCATTCACCTTTGTCCTCTCACTAGATGTGCAACTGACTAAAAGCAATCTTGGCTGTCGATACCAACATTTTTAAAGTGAAAAGGCTGATTATACAAGGCTTGCAAGAATTTGACATAGCACTGTTTTGCATTTTTATAAGCATTTTGAATGCGAAAGTAGATTGGCCATAGTAAGTGTCATCTTGCCCTAGATGATGAGATGTTGACCAAAAATAACATTGATGCTCTTTACAGCCTTCCTTTTCTGCCTGCTGGGTGGTGACTTAGGCTTCATCTTTCTTTTTGGTGAGTAAAGTTAAATCCCAATTATATAGCACATTAAAAGCTTTGCCAACCTTTACAAATCTTTACCACCTACACAGATTACGAGTTGACATGAGTTACTCTAATGGTGTTCTGTAAAAATGCCACACAAAGGCCCTGTTTTCAGAACAACATATTTTTCTGGGAAAAGCCACATTAAGCCTAACCGCAGGAAATTCAGTTTTAGATGCTGTAGCTACCTGTCAGAATCTAGTGCCTTAACTCTGGCACAACACATGCATCTACCATTTTTGATCCAAGACAGGATACTCATAGAAAAGAGTGAAACATAGGAAAAAAACTTGTTCAAGATCTTTGGACAGGCATGCGTGAGTCAGAGACAAAGCATCCAAATAATGAGCTTCAAATCCTGTGTCATTTCTTCCTGAATATAGCAAACTTGCTAGAGATTGCATGGGGAGCAAGATGATATTTTTGCTCCAGAGAACAAGAACTGATTTGTGACCTAGAAGGGCCACAAGGAAAAGTCCTGCTGAAGATCCAGCAAGTCTTGCCCTGACCTAACCTACTTCCTTTCCCCATCTTGGTCATGTTACTGACACCTTAAACACGTGCACATTTCAGCAGACCAAGAACTAAAAAAGTGCTGTTTGGCAGGCAGTGACACACCAGTAGAGGGGTGTCTGGGATTTCTTTCTGATTATGGGACTAATGGCTGAAGGGAAATGAAAAGCAAGTATAAACAGGGATGGGAAAAAGAGATAAAAATCAAAAAGCCTTTGGTGAGCCTACAATGTGCAGTGACCTGAGCTGTTCTGTACCCCCAGTTCTGCTCCCTGAAGGCACCCTGAAGGCAGCTCCTATCTCAGAAGGTGAACGCAGAGCCTCTTCTGGGAAAGATAGGATATATGGAGAGTAACCATTTTTTTAGACGGAGATTTTTCTCGCACAGCCAGAGACAAGGATCTCAGAGATGCCACTAACAGAAGCAGCACAACACTCCCAAAGTCCCAGCGCCGGGCTGCATGCCTGCTGGGAGCTATAGGCAGCCCACCGGTCTGCCCAGCATTAGGGCTGGTGAGAAGCAGAGCTGCCCCAGCAGGCTGAGCACAGCAGCCAGTACGTGACTTCAGGCAGGGCTTCATGTGGTTTGTCCCACAGGAAGAGTGCTGCTTACAAGGAGAAACGCAGCAAGAGGAACTCTGCACTCTGATCTCCTGTTATCAGGGCAGAGCAGCTCAGCCCTACTCCTTATCAGCCATGTCAGAGCTCGCTTCGGCCATGCTGAGCCTCTGTACAGCCTGTCCCTGTGTGCTACGGGGGCCAGACCCACAGCTGACGGCTTTTTGTGAGGAAGTGCTTTGATAAATGTTGTCACACGTGTGAACAAAGCAGCACTAGTTGTCATAGGAGCACTGAAGGGAGCCAATGTTGGACCTCATTATTCTGAGCGTTCATTTCTTCACCTGCTTTCTCATCTCTGTTTTGATCTGGTGGGGATCTAAGGTACTGTGTGACTTGCTGTGTGGCGGATAAGTGGCACTGCTCTTTGTAGCTCTTAACCCTCTTTGCAACTGGATTCCATGCGTATGTGGTTCCTCTTTGTTCTCAACATGCACAAAGACTTTTTTTAGCCTGATCTTCTGAGGAAGTGAGGGTATCAGGGTTGCACTGGGACTTTGACGTGACTGGAACACAGCAGCTAATTGTAAGCGAAATTAGTAGGAGGACAGGCTTCATGATGAAAGGGGGAGGCATGCATATGTCCTCTGCTAAGAGAGGCTTTCTGATGTTTGAAATACGTAAAGGGATGAAGGCAAAGGCAGAACGCAGCTGCTAAAAAGCCCAGGTTTAGTACATCTTCCCAAACAAAGATTTCTTTCCTTTATTAAACAATATTTTTCCTTTATTATCAGCTTCTATAGGCTTGTATTTCTATCCACAGTACTGTGTTAAGTCCCCCAACCTCATTTATCCTCTGCATTGCTAAATAGTTTAGTGCTTCAAATTTAGTATCACTGGATTTATGAATTTATTAAAATGCAGATTGAATAGGCTCAACTTGGAATTAATTTTGTCTCAGCCTCAGGTATCAGGTTTGCAGCAGTTGGTATTTCGAGTTCCACTTCTGTTAGTGAACATTATCACCAGACTCCTGGGCTTTGCTTTATGTGCATACTGATAATATTGAACTAATATTGTACTAAAACCTCTGTCCTGTTCACCATATATGCTAAGTGAGCTGTGCTTTTCCTTGGAACTGGGGCACACATTTTCCATGTAGAAATCCAAACAAGAACTGTTTTATGAGGTTGGTTTTTTGTGTTTGCTTGTTGTTGTGTTTTTTTTGTCTGTGTGTCTGTGTCTGTTTTAAGGACATGGTTTTACACAGCCCAAGCAAAGGAACAGTTGAAACGGAGCCAGATGATCTTGTATTAGTTGGAAAAGAAGATGACATAAAAAAGTCCCAAAGAATAACAGCCAAAGTCAATGGCAGAGAAGTTGTTGTTTTCTACCATGAAGGGAGATTTTATGCTCTGGACTCTCGCTGTTACCGTAAGATATTTGCATACACAGCATCAGTGTTGTAACAATTAAACATATAGTTTGCTGCATAAATTAATATCATATTCTGCTATGTTTCAGATGAAGGTGGCCCTTTACATCTTGGAGAAATAGAGGTATGTAAGCAAAATAAAAATAATTTATGTGCATAGAGACTTTTGGAATCTCTGGTGCATTTTCTTTGAATAATTTTGTCAAAACAGAACATAAGAAATGGGTGTGTAAGTAAAAATAATGCATCCTGTCATGCTTTTTTTCATGTTTATTTGTCTCAGGAGACTGAGATGTTGAGATGAGGAGTGAAAATTTGATTCTCATTGTTGTGTGGATACATTCCATAACGATAGAATATTATGATTAGTTACTGTATGTAAAAAGTGTAATTAAAACTTGGTGTTATTCACAGTTGAGGAGTAGGCTCCAGCACCAAATGAATCACTGGTTCAGTTGTTTGCTGCTGGAATAAGGTGTTCTTAGGAGTAAAAATTTGTATTCTATCAGAATAGAAAGCTTTCAGCTGAATCACCAGATATGGTTAAGATGGGAATTTCCACACGGAGAAGAATTAGAAGCTGATGCTTTTTCTTTTCTTCTTGATCTTTGAAGGACATTGATGGTCAGGCATGTATTATCTGTCCTTGGCATAAGTATACAATCACACTGGAAACAGGAGAAGGATTATATCAAGGAATAAACCCTTTGGAGCCATCACCAACACCACGGTGGCAGTCAAAAGGAGTAAAACAAAGGATTCATAAAGTTACAGTAAAGAATAAGAATGTTTATGTGAGTCCTCCAGATATGTCTGTAAGTTTTGACTCTGATTACTTTGCTGAGAAATACAAAAATGGTGGTGAATTAGCTATGAAAAAATAAAGCAACTCAAAAGCAGCAGAGCAAGTTTTGGATAGAAAACAGAATCCTGCTGAATG